GCCACCTTCCCAGCCCCTCTCATTTTTATAATAGGTACAGACAAAACTGTAAGACAAATATTCAGTTCTAGTTCCCTACCCCTTAAAACAATTCCTTATTCCATTAATCTCTTTTCATAGCAAGGAGAAATCAGGCCTTAGCTTCAATGAATAGAAATCTCATCAGAAGTTGGGCACTGATGGCTCATGCCTGTAATTCTAGCTACCCAGCAGGCTGAGATTGAAGATCTTGCTTCAAAGCCAGCCCAGATAGAAAAGTTTGTGAAACTCTTATCTCCAATTAACTAAATCTGTATCTCCAATTAACTAAATCTGTAAGACTCTATCTCTAACTACTAAAAAAAAGTTGGAAGTGAAACTACAGCTCAGTTGGTAGAATACCAGCCATGAGTGAAAAAAACTAAGCGGAACACTTAGGCCCTGAGTTCAAACACAGCACGCACACACACACACACACACACACACACACACACACACACACGTTAAATGTTATCATTGAGTCATTTCTTCTTTAAATTCTGGCTGCTTTTGCTTCATGCATTTTAGAACTCTTTGGTATATAAAGGATTTTTATAGCTGTAATATATTCTTGATGTATGGATTGTTACCATTGCTTCTCATAAAAAGTTTGTCTTCAAGGGCTGGGAAGGTGGCTCAGTGGTAGAGTGCTTGCCTTGCATGCCTGAGACCCTGGTTCGATTCCTCAGCACTACATCAGCAAAAAGAAAAAAGCCGGAAATGGTGCTGTGACTCAAGTGGTAGCGTGCTAGCTGAAGAGCTGAGGGACAGCGCCCAGGCCCAGAGTTCAGGCCCCACGACTGAACCCCCCCCCCCCAAAATAGTTTGTCTTCAAATCTATTTGGTCAGATACTAATATAACCACCCATGCTGTCTTTTCATTTTGTATGAAATATCTTTCCTATCTATAGTTTGACTATTAGAGTGTGTCTCGGAATATAAAGGGAGTCACCACCTCCAAACAGACACTACTGATGTGCTAAATGCAATTTGGTAGGTGAATTGATCAAGATACAGGTCTGTACTGAATGGTTCATTTATTGGTACAAAACCAGAAAGCAACAAGGTGCCTATGGCTCATGCCTGAACAGCACACCTGAGTTCAGCTCATGCACAAACAACATCGTTGTGGTTTGCAAAATTTTAGCTTGCCTGGCACTGGTGGCTCACGCATGTATTCGTAGCTACTCAGGAGGCTGAGATTTGAGGATCCCGGTTGAAAGCCAGCCAGGGCAGGAAAGTTCCTGAGATTCTTAACTCTAACTAACCACTAAAAGGCAGGAAGTGGAGCTGTGACTCAAGAGGTAGAGCACTAGCCTTGAGCGAAAAGGCTCAGGGACAGTGCTCAGGCCCTGAGTTCAAACCCCAGGACACCACTTCCTTCCCCCCTCCCAACACCAGTCACTTTTGTTTACATTTTCATGTGTAACAGCTCACAAAAACCTTAAGGGCGAAGAGCCCTCCCTGCCCATCCGTGGGATCAGCCAGCCCCACTTACCGTCTTTCTCCACCTTTGCCTGCCCGAGGCCCGCAAAGCCGATGACAACAGCAAGCCGATGACAACAGCCGATGACAACAGCAAGCTGCCCTTCCTCCAGTCCCTGGGGCTGGACGGCCTGGGAGCTGAGGCTGCCCCGGAGAGGCTGCGCCCCCAAGTGGTCGCGTCCCCGCGCTGCAGCTTCGTGCGGCGCCCCTCCCGGAGCGGAGCGCCCCGTCCAGGCCGAGCTCTCCCAGCCAGGTGGACGGCTAAGGCCGCCGGGAAGTGCGAGGGCGCCCCGCTTGTGAGGGCCTGGGTGGCGCCCTCCGCCGGCTGACACGCTGCCGCTCGGCATCGACGGCCTCGCGGGTCGGATTCGGGGGCCCGGCGCCCTCTGTCGCCCAGGGCCTGGAGCCCCCCGCGGTTTCATCACGTTCCTCGTTCCAGCCCCGAAAGCGCACCGCCACGCACACCTGCAGCAACGCGGGCTCCGCGTTCAGGGCGCACCTGCCACGCAGGCAGGAGACCAGCCTCCTGTAACCAATGCCACTGCACGTTCGCGAGCTTCCCCCCACCAGCCCCCTGCGTGCACACAGGCCACCGGCTGAGCCTTCCAGGGCCACCTGTGCGACCCGGACTTGGCCAGTCCTGACCCCCTGGTGCTACACAAGAAGAGACACACGGACCCAGAGATTCCCCCCAGCCCGCCCCGGTCACCCCTCCACTCCGTGGTCGTGACAGGTCCCATTTGATCCTCTCCCACACTGTGACTGCTATTTATTGGACCCCAGGACCCAGCTGGGCAACCTGGCCACGACAGGCCACCATTCTGACTGAAGGCCCAGGAGGGGCGACAATGACCATTTTAATTTCAAAATGGTGCAGCAATCGTGTCACGTGCTTTCTTGGAGGAGAGGAAAGAGGCTCAGTCTCCTGAGAGAGCCTTTCTGTGGTGTTCATGACATTATATATATATATATATATAATATTTACATAATGACTGTGGATGATATATCGTATTATTGTAAATAAGAAAAACTGGAAGGCTTTGAGGTTGCCTGGATTGTTTTTGTAAAACTTGCAGTCTTCCTTCCTTCCTTCCTTCCTTCCTTCTTTTTCCTCTGTCTCTCAGTCTCTCTGTCTGTCTGTCTGTCTGTCTCTTTTAGGTTGTGGGACTTGAACTCTGGGCCTGGGTGCTGTCCCTGAGCTCTTCAGCTCATGGCTAGGGCTCTACCACTTGAGCCACAGCACCACTTCCAGTTTTCTGGTGGTTAATTGGAGATAAAGAGTCTCACAGACTTTGCTGCCAAGGCTGGCTTTGAACCAGGATTCTCAGATCTCAGCCTCTTGAGTAGCTAGGATTACAGGCATGAGCCACCAGTATGCCCGGCTCTTATTTCTTAATTTAAAAAGTTTTGCATCTTTTGGGGGAAAAAAGACCTTAAGGAAAACAATAATTCTTGATTCCTTTTTTGAGAATGGGATGAATAGAAGGCCTCCTAGGAGGAAGGGGTGAGGGGAGATTTTTCTTCCTTTTACTTTCTAGGAGGAGGAGCTTCATGTGGGAAGATCCCTTCCCCTCAGAGACTGAGCTCAAGAAAGCAGAGTCTTGGATGAAGGAGATGAGCTTAGGAAAAACATAAACAAATCGTATCACATACAGCCCTTTCCAGCTCTGTGTGAATGTGACTAAAAGATGAGCTCATAGAGAGGCAGATCTGATATGGAACATCTGGAGCTCTGTGGGAAGGAGACAGCCCAGGACCTCCAGGACTGGAAAAAGGACCTCTTATTCTGTGTGATGAAGTCAACACACCCCAAGAGCATTCCTGGGGTGGGGGTGGGGCTGTCAGGAGACTTCAAGGCCGCTAGTTACACAGCTGTGTTCACTGTCAATCAGAGCTGCATGTTAGGATGTATGCACTTTTCTGGATGCCTTGAATAAAGGTTGACTTAAAATAATACTATCCCAAATGCCTAAGTGATATCAGCCAGAACTACATTGCCACCAGTCATCCACTAAGCACCTGCTGCATGCCAGGAACCCAGGACATGATACAGCTCCAATCACTTCTGAGAGCCAGTTCTTCCAACTTACAGGCTGTCAATCAAGGACAACCAGCTACCAAACTGTTCAACAAGTACTCCAGCTACCAAGACTATGTTGTTTTTTTTTCAGCCCTAATGGCCTGCCAGAGAGTGGAGTGAGACTGCTACAGGAAATATAATATGGAAAATAAGAGGGCAGGAGACCATACCCTCTTGGAAGGAAAGGCCAAGTAGGAGGCCTTTCAGCATGGGCTGCATCTCCTCACAGGACCCCAGGGCCCCATTCACTAAGACAACGAAACACTCAGTGCTTGGGTTGTACAAGGATGAGGAATGCAGGGGCAGACTCAGTACCTGGATGATGGGTGACTCAATCATAGTCAAAAACAGAAGAGAGCCAGGCCACAGTGAACAGTGAGGACAGAGGGGGCAGGCAGAATCCTCTGAAAGGGGACTGCCTTACTAAGCCAGGCTGCCTGCCTTCTACCTCCCTCTCTTTGAGGAGACTCACTCCAGACCAGTTGGGGCCTGCTGAGTCCCATAAAGAACAACTGAAACCAAAGTAGGTTACAGAAAAGAGGGATTGAAGCCAGGCGCCAGTGGTTCACACCTGTAATCCTAACTACTCAGGAGGCTGAGGAATTGCGGTTCAAAGCCAGCATGGGCAAGAAAGTCCAATTAGCCACCAGAAAACTGGAAGTGGCACTATGACTCAAGTGGTAGAGCACTTGCCTTGAGCTGCAGAGCTCAGGGACAGTGCTCAGGCCCAGAGTTCAAGCCCCATGAACAACAAAAAAAAGGATGGGACTGTCAGGGTGGTGGCTCCAAAGGGGTGGTAAGACCCTCAGCAGAAGAAATTTTAGAAGGAGAGCCTGACCAGAGATTGATAGTCCTGTAGGAGGTCATAGATAGATGACTCTGCCAGAGAGGAGGCCTGAGTGTACTAGTACCATTGTCCCTGTGGCTAGAATACTGTTCCCTTCTCTAATATCCATAGTCATTCTAATATGGTTTTATGTTGACAAACAGGTAAACCTTGGTACTTCAATCTATTTATTCCTGGGTTTACACAGCAAGACAGGATTCCACAGTATCCACTTCCTAGTAAGGATAGTATAGGCTACTTGGAATTTTTGCGTTTTGGTGCTTGTACTGGGGCTTGAACTCAGGGCCTCAGACTCTTACTTAGCTTTTTTGCTCAAGGCTGACTTTCTATCACTTGAGCCATACCTTTACTTCTGCTTTTTAGTGGTTGATTGGAGATAACCTTTGTGAATACAATGTGCTACTGGTATTCGCATTCAATGTGGTGTGCAATCTGGAGGTGCACTCCATACCCAGGACAGACCCCAGGCTGCTTCCAAGCTCCCACCCCAGGGTCTCTGAGAGACTCGTTTTGCACTGCTGGTACCAGTCACCTAGAACAGGAGTCAAAGCAATCACAGGGAACAAGCCATGTGCTTCATCTTTTTATTATTCTTTATTTATTGGTCCTACCAACATGACTCTTTACCCAGGCCCACTGTTCCTATGAACGCTGGCTTTGTAGACATTCATGCCTATGTTCCAAGAGTCTTGGGTAATTTTTCCCTCGTATTCCTTTCCCATACTTTGCCTCATTTTCTCAGAAACTGAAGGCATTTGCTTATTATTATTTGTTTGTTTGGGTCTGTGTAAAGATTCCTTGGCAGGAAAACATGCATATGACTTTAAAATAAAGACCAACATTATGACACTAAGGTAATGCACAGAAAAAAAATACAGTACTTAGACATCATTGCAAATAAATACCCCATACAGATGGTTATCTTAAATGTAACAATATTTCTTATGAGTCAACACTGTAACAGAAGGTAAAAATAGGAGTCCCAACAACTAGGAATAAGAAATGCTCGTTCCAGGAAACAGAATTCTTTGAGCCTTGCAATTTATATTATTAAAATTTGTCCTTTTTTTTTTGGAGGACGGAGGCCTGTTTTTCTCCTCCACTAGTACCAATCTGACCACACCAGTGAAACCTCACTTAGCAAGCAGTTTGCTAAGGAGCTTTAATGAGTTCTGTTTCCTGAAATTAACAGTGATTAGTTACACCAAGCAAGAGAAGATAAAATGTCCTCCTTTTCACATTTGCAAAGAATACTATGGCTAACCCTCATCCCCTAATCGAGTGCCGACCAACCTTGCCGACTCTCCTGCCGCCCTCTGCTCTTCACAAACGTGTTCATACAGCTTGCTTAGTTTGTCCCATAAAGTCCATTTGGTTCCCAAAGCACACTCAGTTTTGTGTTTCTTTTTGTTTGCGAAGCCCCTGAATTTGCAAGTAAAGAATCACTGACTAACAGAATTTTGCACAATTACTGTTTTTTTTTTTTTTTTTTTCCCCTCAATGAGATGCCCAGGGACAAGTGTGAGGTGGGCACCTGCTCCCACCTGCTGGTTCACACTGGCCTTCAGCATTCCCACCTAGCTCTTTGCTGCCCATTTCAGAGAATTTACTTCACTGGGACACCTCCCTTAACTGATGAAGGCACTACTGGCAATGATTACTAACAAAAAGGTGTTGAAATATAACACCCTAAAAATCGACGACTGTAGAATTTTCTAAGTGTACCACAATTTGGCACAACAACCAGAGTAACAAAACAATTCCAATTTGGAATTTCACTGGTACAGTTGTATAAAATTCTGTTAATCAGTCATGCTTCACAATGTCCTAAAACCCAGAAAATTCTGGAATTTGTAGGTAATACTACTCATTCAATAATTTATCTTTTTTTTTTCAAGTGCCTATTACTGTTTTAACCAGAGCAAAGGTCAAGTTTTCTTCTTGTTACATTGAACTATTCCTAAGAATAATAATAATACAATATGAAAAAAACCCCAGAATCAGAATACCCTGGATTTCTTAATGAACATGGCATTTAAGATCTGTAATTTCAAACATGAACCATAATGCCGTATAAACTAAAAGGCTGCTGAACCACAGTGTGGATACATTTAGCTGAGCCCCTCACTGGGTCGAAGCCCCATCTCCATTCTAGAGCTACACACTATGTATGGAGCACAGCTCTGCCTCACGTTGATGCCAGATCAACAGACTGGGAGCTAAGACAAACAGCTAACGGACCACGAGCACAGACCATGGCATCTGAGACCGTCTCTATACGAGGGAGTAGGGAAGCAAATATAATATCAAAATATCAAAAGTGCACAGGTTGATTGGGTAAAAAAGGAACGTGTGTAATAAGGAGACCCCTGCAGTGGGTGTTCTGGCAGGCTCTAGCAAGCCTGACAGCGGCTGTGGAAGCAGGTTCTTCGGCTGTGCAGAGGCTTTTCCAAGCAGCAGCTCGTGGCATTCTCAACATTAAAGCTTTTTTTTTTTTTTCCACCCACCAAAAAGTTGTGGAATGCTATTTTGAAAAGAATTGCAGTGGCATATCCAAAATGTTTCTAAAATGTGATTTTTTAGGCTGCCCTTCCTTCCTCTGCATGGGCCACGGGAGGGGGTTGGGGGAAGGGGCTGCAGTGTGACAGGGCTGGGCAGTCACGTCCTCCCAGCAGCTACTCTACAGCTGAAAACAGGAGAAAATAAGACAACATTAGACAATGGTCACCTGACACTTAACAACTAAAGCTCTTGTGCTGGGAGTGAGCGAGCTCGTTAGTTGGCAGAGTCGACGGGCATATGTTAGGGAGGCCAGTGGCTCCAAAGTGCCCACAAAGCCCCTGTAAGTACAAGAGAAGCTGCTGCTGGCCCAGTGAGGAGAGAAAAAGGCAGAAAGTATGTGAGCATGCGAACAGCCATCTTTAGGACAGACATGCAGGGGACAAACATGGCCTGTTCTACACTCCAATGTGCATCTGTGCAGTGCCTAGTCTGGAGGAGACCAAGATACTCTCGGCATCTAGGGAAAGTAGGGACGGACAGCTGTGAGAGGGTCAACAGAGCCTCACATCAGGCAACAATGTCAATCCCCTTTCTACTGGGACAGACTGGCAAGCAGCCTCAGGGGAGCAAGGGGAAGCCTCAGGTCTGGATGCCCTATGGGGACAGGGAAAGGAATACTGAAATGAGTTCTGTTTCACAGTGCGGCAACTCAGGTGCCTGATGCCACAGCTCTGCACTAATGGAGCCTCCAGAAACAGGAGAGTACTTTGGCTACTTAGCCTCTTTCTGTCCTCACTCCCAAATTGCACTAGAAAACCATAAACCTCCTATCTGCCCTGGACCTGTGCAAAGCTCTCCTCGCACAGGGCTGTGTTGTGCTACATCTGTGTGTATCTGTAACTCAGCCAAGCCCGCTAGCAGCTCTCAAGACTCTGCTTCTTCAGGTCTGAAACCCTCTACAAAGAAGGCCTGAACATGGATAGGCAGCTGGGTATAGAAGGAAGGGCTGCACACCAAGGACCAAGGCCAGGCACTTGGAAGGAATACTTTTCTCATTTAAAAAACAAAAACAAAACAAAACAAAAACCCCTGGCCCTTGAGCCTTGCCACCTTGTGATCTCACAGGCCAGCAGAACAGCATGCAGATCTCGGAAATGAGAAACTGTGGCCTCCAGGCTCTGTTCTCCCAGGCTATGGTCAGCTGTCTCCAACATATGTGGTTCTCATGTATAGAATGCAAGAGTCCAGGGCCATTTTTCTCTGGGTTTGGGGAAGAAGTTCTGCACTTAATCCTGAATGTGACTTGCAGATGCTGCACAGACTATAATGTATCATTTCTCCTAAAACTATGCCAGCCCACCAGAGCTGTCCTCTGAGGCTGGACCTAGGATGCAGGTCAGAACCTCAGGAAACTGCTTTCAGGTGCTGACACAGACACATGCGAGGAACATGCAAATACGAGCTCCGAGTTCTGCCCTTCTAGGGATATCCAGAGAGTGGAGCAGGACTTTCTCCCTTGGGTTCTCCTGACATACCTGGGGCTCCTGGAAGACACTTCCACACATCTGTCTTCCACAAAGATATGAAGCGTCACCCCATTGCCAAAGCCCCCAAGACAGCAGCTGACACCGGAGGCAATGGAGCAGGAAGTGACACAAAGCTCATGGAAGTGTCTTGGTACCCCATACCACCACTTGGCTAGAATCTTGCCCTCTGTGCATTAGTCACGTTAAGACTGGCCTAGCACCGCTGTCCCGCTGCTGGGTTAGTTGAGGTGAAGCAGATGTTAGCTGCAGCGTGCGGAACCCCACAGCCCTAGTCGCAGTAAATGCTGTGCTTCTCATTGCAGAACACCTGGTTGGCCAGCCCGGTGCCCTCAGCCCTGTCACTGGCACAGGCACAGGTGTGACTTACGCTCGGAGTGGCTGGCTTGGCCTTCGAGGCTGCTTTTGTGCGGCCCCGTCGGGTCTGCTCATGGTCCAGCTCAAGCAGCTCCAGTCGCTGCGTAAGTGCCAGCTTCTGTTGGATGGCCATGCGCAGAAGGGAGTTAAGTGTCTTCTTTTCATCCTCAGCCGCTGCCAGTTGCCTCTGCATCTCATCCAGCTGCGTGATATACTCATCACACCTGTGGGGACCAAGAGTATAGTTGAAGGGCCAAGCAAGGGCCTCTAGACCCTGGTATGCCTCCTGAGTTGGGGCCAGGGTTAGGGAAGGCTTGCTCTGATTTCTTTCAGCAAAAGATTTTTTCAGTAAAAGACTTTGATGAGGGCTAGAAAAGCACTCGGAGCCCCAAAAATATAATGCTAGCTTGGATTCTCTGGGTTTTTTTTTTTTTGTTGTTTTATCTGGAGTGGGAACAGATAGGAGGCTGCTTTGTTCACAGGCTAGAAGTGGTTCCTATAACAAGGCTATGACCCTCAGCAATTTGGCTTTCCTGGAGTGGGGTGCTCTCCCCACTTTAAAGCTAAGAAGTAGCTTCAACAGGAAGGCATTTGAATATAAACTGAGATTTGAGTATAAACTGAGGCAAGACCAGGCTTGTTCTCACTCCAAGCCATGACGGATGCTTATTAAGTCTGCTGGGCCACACAGTCAGAGTCAAGGAAAGGTGTGAGTGGATTCTATAATCAGTTCTTCTTGGTCTTTGGGTGGAGGCTCAAGTACCCACCAGGGGGATGTGCAGGGGGGATGCCTGCACTGGTTTCATTTGTCTAGCTGGTCCCTTGACAGCATTCTTTCAGGGACACATGCTGAACTGTCTTTCTCATGGGTCTGAAGTCCTGGTTTAAATTAGTTAAACCTTTAAATGAAACAAGTTTAAAAAGCTGGTGTTTTCAAATCGGAACTATAGAATTTTTTTTTCCCAAGAATGATCTTATATCCCAGGAAGAATGGAAGGTTCTAGGCAGGAAGAATGGAAGGTTCCAGGAAAACCCTGAAACTCTCTTTGACCCTATCTGCTATAACAAGGCTCCCTAAGTGGATACTGAGAAACTGGGAGTGTTTGGTCTGGCAAGAGGAAAGCAGACCTCTGCCAGTTCCCCATCCTAGAAGTCTCAGCTTGCTCAGAATAAAGCCAAGTTGATCAGGTTCCATGCCATTCCAATGTCTACCAGCAGGGGGTGGCACTATCTGGTGCAGTCTGAGTCTAATCTTTCTCATCCCAGGAAAGCATGGGTAAACACTTAAATGGCTCCCAGCTCACCTCAGGACTAAGAGCCCCAATGGGAGAAGAAAGAAAGCATGAAGTTTCTCCTCCTCACTCTTCCCCCACAGGGAGGAAAAGGGATGGGTAACCAGGTGCAGAGTTGGAGGAAAACCTCTTTGAATCTAAAAACCTAAACCCATGCATGTGCCTTATGTCCAAGTTTGGGGCTAACTTGGACAGAAGTTAGTTCTCGTAACTGTTTGATCCCACCCACCCTAAAAGTTCATGCCTCCCAGCCCCTCTGCTTCTCAGCCTCTTTATGTTCAACAGCAGGACAATTTAGGCCTGGTAGGTTCTCATTAATAGCAAAATTAGACATAGCTCATAGAATCAAGCAGCTGGGGGCTAGACTAGGCAGGAACAGAAACAGGGAAAGGACTATATACCTCCTACCAAACATAAGCCATGTGGTACCCCCAGATACGCTTTACTGGGCACCTCCCTACATGATACATGACAAGCTAGAGTGCAGCTACCTAGAGATTCTGGTGATACGTGGTCCTCACAATGCCCCACTTGCCCTGTCACCAACTTGAGACCCCTGTGTGTCATGATGGGCTGGGGTCCATAATTCCAAACCCAGAAATCATCAGCCCCACATGGTGCTGGACACAGAAACTGGACCAGCAGGTCTGCAGGTCTCAGGCAAGAGGTTTAAGGGCTGTGTGTGATGACCACTGATGGCCACAGAAGGGAGAGGCTATAACCACAGCAGCAGCAGCAAGGGTGCGGACAGTGAGTTACCTGGTGGCAAACATAGCTCGAAGTGAGGAGAAGGTAGCTGCATCTTCCTTCAGGGCCTTGAGCTCATTGCGCAGCTTCATCATGGTCTCGGTCACCATGGCCTTCTCATTCTCATACTTGCTCTTCAGGTTGGCGAGGGCCACCTCAGCAGTCTGGGACAGACAGGCACAGGGTGTTTGGGTGAGGAGAGAAGAGCTGTCCTAGAGATGTTCTGGGCTACAATGGGGACCCTGGGTCCAAAGTGGGGGATATTCTTCCTCTGATGCAATCCTGGGGACAAACTCTGGCAGCAGCATATCTTAGTGGGTACCATACACTTGTGATCAATAGAGAAAGATTGTGTCCCCCCCAAACCTGCCTGGGACCCCCACAAATTTCCACATCACTCTCCTCAGGACATTTAGGACATTTGTTGTAAGGTGGAAGAAGTTCTTATTGTCCAAGTTCCTTAGATGAAAGGGGACATTGAGCCCAGCTACTCACTCTAGCCTCCTGTATGGGAGCCCTGAGCAGAAGAGGTCAGGTGTCTGTGCTAATACAGGGCCATCCCTATCTTGTGGGCCTGGGAAGCACTGCAGTGGATGAAGGATGCAGACCAAGGGTGAGAAATACCCACCTGGTCAGGTCAGTGTGACCAGCACCCCCCAAGGCTGTCTCACCTGCTTGTTGGCCTTGAGCACAGTGCGCAGAGTGGTGATCTGCTCCCGTTTGGTGCTGAGCAGTGACTTCAGCTTGAGGATTTCTTCCATGAGTGCCTCCTTGTCCTTGTCCACTGCAGGGCCCAGCTCCTGGGAGGCAATGCGTTGGCGAGACAGCTCTGTTGTGCGGTCCACAGCTGCCTGCAGATGCTTGATCTGGTCACGGATGATAGCAATCAGGTTGTAGATGTTCATGGGTTCCCGGCGGGGGTCACTCAGAGGTGATGGCAGTGAAGAGCTGGGTGAGGGGCTGCTGTCCCCGGTCCCACTATCTGCTCGGCCTGCTTCTGTGGCCAGCAGCCCCTTGGGCAGGAGGATAGGTGAGCGACGCCCCCGGCCCTCTGGGCTAGTACGGCCTCCAGGGCTGGTGCGGCCGGCTCCACTCTGGCCCTGGCCTTCTCGATAGTAGTCCAGCATGACTCGGTTGGGTGTCTCATTGTTGCACATGCACACATGGTGGTAGAGGTTGGCCAGCTCCTCACTGAAGGTTACCAGCTCATCCTGAGCCACACTCAGACTGCCCTGGGTCTCACCAGCCACATCGCTCACTTTCTTCAGCTCCTTCTCTAGCCTGGCCAGCAGCTCACGGTCCTGGTGGCTCGCCTTCTCCAGCAGGGAGACCTTCTCAGTGAGGGCCTGGCCCTCAGCCTCATAGCGGCCCTTCTCCTCAGCATGCTGGGCTTCTCGAGCTTCATGGGTACTACGCAGTTCCTTGAGCTGCTCCCGGAGTTCTCCAGCTTCAGCCACAGCCACATGGTACTTACAGGCTAGGATCTCAGGTCCATTGATGTCCACCTCATAGTAATCACCGTCTTCATGGCTGTCATGGTCCTTCTCATTGTCCAGGGCAGTCTGCTGCTCCTTGCCGGTCTGCAGGCGACGCAGGGCACTCAGGTTCTCTGTGAGGCGGCTCACCTTCTCATGTTGCTCAGACAGGGTTCCCCGTGCCTGCTCCAGTTGCTTCTGGGTATCCTGTAGTGTTGTCAGCAGCCCTACCTTCTCTCGCTCCATCTGTAAAGATTCAAGCATGAAGAAAGCTCATCAGTGTGCTTAACGGACCTCCAGGATGTCTTAGCAACATACCAGTTTGTGCTAGGATAGACCATGGGCTCTGCAGATTCCCTGAATACCAGTAACACACAGTGTAGTGTAGAGTGGGCACAATTCACACTGAGCCTTAAGAATGCTGCCCTGGGGCTTGGCAAGTACAGCAGGCTGTCACGGGCTGTTTAGTTCCTCAGTGCTCTGCTCTGGAAGATGGGAGCTCAATTATTTGCTAGATCAAGAGTGGCCAATCTCCCAGGAGGTAAGCCCATGCATTGGGCCCTAATGTCATTTGAACAGGTGGTCTGGGAGGGGGAATGTCACATGAGGGGCCAGCATTATATAATTTCAATCTGACACAGTGTGGGTAACAGGCAGCATGGATACAGGATGTCAAATCTTACCCAATAATTGGAAACCTACTTCTCTGGGATTCTACTCTCTGAGCTACCAGAGTTTCACTTATGGTAACAATAGGATTTAAAGGCAATGTGAGTAAATTAACACTAGCCACCTGTCAGGAAGCCCGGCTTCCTGACAGCAGAACTTTTGGTGATTTGGAGGGGACAGGATGGACCTAGGGTCAGCAGACATGGCCCTGCCTGCTTACCTGCACCAGCTGCTGCTTCAGCTTTTGGATCTCGGAGATATGGAGCTCACTAAGCAGGTCAGAGACAAGACTAGGGGAAGGTGGTACCAGGCCATCTTTCCTGGGTGTGGATGTCTTGTTGTCCAGCGGTGGTTTGACCATGCCACCATGCTCAAAGCCATTAACCAGGGCTTCAGCATCATTGTTGGGCTCAGCAGTGGCATCATCGCTGAACTTGAGGCCATCCAGGGAGACCTGCAGGTGGCTGGTGTAGAAGGAATCATTAATGCTCATGTAGTGTGACAGCTCCTTGCGCAGACTGTTCTTTTGCTCGCGCTCTGTCTTCAGCGTCTCTAGTGCCTCCTCCAGCTGCCGCTCAGAAATCTCCTTGAGCCGGATGGCATCTTCCAGCTGGCTGTTGAGGTATTCAGTCTCCTCCTCCAGACGCTTGATCTCATGCTTGAGACCCTCAAACTCAACCTGGGAAAAAGAGGTCATATACTTCCATGTCAAGGTAATGTGGAAGCTGTTTGGATCTCATATACTAGGAGAATGTGCTAGGGAACCATCCTGCAGAAGAAGCAGAACTGCCCAGACCATAGCCCTTCTTACACCCAGGGATGTGGATGCTAAGAGGATTTCAGAGCATGAGCTGCGAATACACAGAAATGTCAGAACCAGTGTGCCTGAAAGGACTGGGCAACACAAACATTTGGGATGTGCGGAAACTGCAATGCCACATCTATGCTGACAAATTTCTCTTAGGTTTTAAAAAATAGTTGGGTGCTGGTGGCTACTGGGTGCCGGTGGCTGCTGGGTAGCAGTGGTTCATATCTGTAATCCTAGCTACTCAGGAAGTTGAGCTATGAGGATCATGGTTCAAAGCCATCCTGGGCTGGAAAGTCCATGAGAATTGCCAATAAACTATGAAAAAAAAAGCTGGAAATGGAGCTGTGGCTCAAGTGGTAGAGCACAGCCTTGTACAAAAAAGCTCTGGACAGAGCTCAGGCCCTGAGTTCAAGCCCCAGGATCAGCACAAAAATAAAAATTTAAATTAAAAATAAATAAATATAGCTGGGCGCCGGTGGCTCACACCTGTAATCCTAGCTACTCGGGAGGCTGAGATCTGAGGATCATGGTTTAAAGCCAGCCTGGGCAGGAAAGTCCGTGAAACTCTTATCTCCAATAAACCACCAGAAAACCAGAAAGTGGCGCTGTAGCTCAAGTGGTAGAGTGCAAGCCTTGAGCTGAAGAGTTGAGGGACAGGGCTCAGGCTCAAAAAATTACCAAGAGTGTGCTAACTAGAAATTCTCAATTTAATACTAATAGTTAACCAAATCTTTAAGGCACATTAAATATAAACTTCCATGTGTGCTATGACAAAAATCTTATTTCAAATTGTATTAAAAAAAAAAAAAAAAGAGGGCTGGGAAGGTGGCTCAGTGGTAGAGCGCTTGCTTTGCATGCCTGAGGCCCTGGGTTTGATTCCTCAGCACCACATAAAGAAAAAAGCCGGAAGTGGCACTGTGGCTCAAGTGGTAGAGCGCTAGCTTTGAGCTGAAAAGCTGAGGGACAGCACCCAGGCCCAGAGTTCAGGCCCCACGACCGGACCCAAAAAAAAAAAGGAAAAAAAAAAAAGAAAGAAAAATTCTTCCAAGGCAGACAATCTCAGCACTAAATCTTCAGAAAACAGACTTGTAGGAGCTGGAAGGCTAAAGGTAGAAGGTAAAACATGATCAGTTTTTACAACTTGACACTGTGTTTGTGGGCAAATATAGAGCAGGTAGCAAATGACATTTGATATGAAGAACTTACGGCAATTTTATGTGTGTATGATGGTCTTGTGGCTTGAACTTGGGGGTTTGAGTGCTGTTCCTGGGCTTTTTCTCTCAAGTCTAGCATTCTACCACTCCAGCCACACCTCCACTTCCAGTCTTTTGGTGGTTAATTGGGAATAAGAATCTCCTGGCTGGCTTCAAACCATGATTCTTAGATATCAGCATTCTGAGTAGCAGTAGATTGGATCACTGGCACTCTACTGAGTCTGTGACAATTTTTTTTGTTGGTTGTGGGGCCTGAACTCTGGGCCTGGGCGCTGTCCCTTCAGCTCTTCAGTTCAAGGCTAGCGCTCTACCACTTGAGCCACAGTGCCACTTTCGGCTTTTTCTGCTTATGTGGTGCTGAAGAATCAAACCCAGGGGCCTTATGCATGCAAGGTAAGCACTCTACCACTGAGCCACCTTCCCAGCCCTTGTGACAATTTTTAAAAACATGTTTTTTTACTCCCCAATATCCATGTATAAAAACAACTAATAGGTCTGGGAAGGTGGCTCAGTGGTAGAGCGCTTGCCTTGCATGCATGAGGCCCTGGCTTCAATTCCTCAGCACCACATAAGCAAAAAGAAAAAAGCCGGAAGTGGCGCTGTGGCTCAAGTGGTAGAGTGCTAGCCTTGAGCTGAGAAGCTGAGGGACAGCACCCAGACCTAGAGTTCAGGCCCCACGACTGGACCCCAAAAAAAAAAAAACCAACTAATAAATGAAGCAATGAAGAACTCTTCATGGATTTGTGTGCTCATGAGAGGTGGGCATGAAGCCCCCAATGTCAATGACATAAGTAGGAGTAAGGAATTACAGGAGAGTTGTAAATCATCAATGGCAGGGTCTTTCTAAGCCTTAGCTTCTCCTGTCCTCAGGACTCTAATTAGCATGAGGTATCTTTGTGTCACTGAAGGACTGGAGGTTGTGAGCTCTGTGGTTTCCTGGGAAGCAGAATCTGTTCCCTGCTTCCTTTTGCAAACACCAGAGATTTCTACATAATGTATGAGTTTCCTCATGCAGGATATAAATACCAGGTTCACTGATAGTGAGACTTTTCTGTTCTAAGAGCATCTGGGATGTAGGGTGTTTCTGAGGAAACCAAGGCTGGCATCCATGATATTCTGGGACAATCCTGGGATATTTATTGGGAAAAATAGTTTCCAGCAGGACTGTGGCTCTTGGAAAGTTGGGAGCGTGTTTGGGCCCTAAGTGGTCCTGAGTCCAGGTTCACCTTGTTCCTACAGGGGGCCCTCTATGTGCCTGCTATTGTCAGAGTTATGTCAGTATGTCAGGCTTTCCAACATCTGAGAGAAGACAGAGCCTAGTTTAGTCTAGGGTTTTTTGTTTTTTGGTCAGTCATGGGGCTTGAACTCTGGGCTTGGGCACTATCCTTGTGCTCTTCAGCTGGAGGTGAGCGCTCTACCACTTGAGCCACAGTGCCACTTCCAGTTTTCTAGTGGTTTATTGAAGATAAGAGTCTCACAAACTTTTCTGCCCGGGCTGGCTTTGAACCGTGATCCTCAGATCTCAGCCTCCTGAGTAGCTAGGATTACAGATGTGAGCCACCGGCACCCGGCTAGTCTAGGGTTTTTTGTTGTAATCTCTTGGATTTTTTTTTGTTGTTGTTTTAATACTTTGGATTGGCCAAAGGTCAGCAAACACTGCAGCCTGTCCTTGTTTAGTGGTTCTGAAGTATTTAGATCCTGTTTGCTCTAACCTCATTGGTCATAGGCCTCAGGTTGTAGAACAACATAGGAAAATGGAAGATGGGTAGACAAGAGGGCTGAGAGACCTAGAGGTGACTGAGGCACCCACCCACACTCTGCAGCTGAAGACTTGCCTGGTTTTGTCTGAGCACAGACACTTGCTTCTGCAGGCTGATGTTCTCCTCTTCTAGCTCAGAGTAGTCCTGTAGTAGGCGGGCCTCCCGGAACTTGTACTCCTTGATGTCATCCCGAAGGCGGCCACGCTGGATCTCCACATTCTGGTTAATCTGCCAGGGCAGAGACAAAATCGGTGTGAGCTTCCACACCTGGCCCCATCACCCTTGCACCTCACCTCCAAATGGCTTGGGGAGGAATTTAGAGTGGACAGGCACAGCATGGCATGTCACAGAGCTAGGACTTAGGATCCAGGGAAGCATGATGTGTAGGGAGTAGTTTACACATAATCAGATCTCTTTAGCTCTTCTCAGCTCTGGAACTTCTGGCAAGTGACTGAGCCTACTCTGACCTCCCCACCCTTGGTTTTCACCCATAAGATAGGGCTATCCTGTTGATAGACTGATAAATGAAGCAATGCTGTGGTACAAAGTTTAGAAGTGATCCAACAATTAAACAGTGTATACTCCAGAAAAATAAGATACATCCACACAGAATCCTGCACACCAATGTTCCCAGCATCAGTACTCACGATGGCCAAAAGATGGGAGCAATTCAAGTGTCCATCAACAGGTGAATGAATAGATAAATGTGGTCTGAATACACAGCGCACTACTATTTAGCCTCAATAAGGAAAGATATCCTGACACTTGCTACAACATGAATGAAGTTTGAAGACATTCTGCTGAGTAAATGAAGCCAGTCAGTCACAAGTGATTATACATTGTATGATTCCATTTACATGCAATGTCTAAAACAGACAAATCCACACAGACAGACGGTGGATTCGTGGGGCTTGAGTGAGGGAATTAGAGTGACTGAGAATGGAGTTTCTGGAGTGATAAAACATTATAAATTCACAGTGAGGTCTACCTGGTAGATGGCTTGCCTAACATATGCCTGGTTTTATCCCTAGTCCCACAAAAAGAAAAAAGAAAAAAAATGACTGTGGGATGGGGTACACATTTATAAATATGCTAAAACCCTGGGTTATACACTTTTAAGTGGGAGAGATGTACAGGATGCATTACCTTAATAATGCTATTAAGACATTGGTTCAAGCCTCCCAGTCACCGGAGAGACAATCTCTGGGAGAGGCTAGTGCAGAACCCAGGTGAATGGAATGCAATCTAGAGTCTAGAAACTCTCTACCTGCTGGTCTGTGTGACTCTTAGCCTTGACCTTCTAGAAATTCAGAGCCAGATTATTCTTTATGATGGGAGCTGTCCTATACACCTGTCCTGTCCCCTATTCTCAATGCCCTGATGGCCTCTATGGGCCCTCAACATTCCTGCTAGCACTGTCACCTCAGCTCATGCAGGGTTTGCTCTTGATCATATCCATGTGTTCCATCTGAAGAACACAAGACTCCAAAACCCCACACAAGGCCACACAAAACAATAATGTCAGATCAGTAATGTCACAACATACAGCAAGCACTACTCACAAATGCTTAGCACTAAGATGGTACTTAACGTCGATGCCATATAGACACAGCCCTGTCAGTGACTCAAGGAAGTAACAAAGTTGACACCAGAATAAAAGATACTGAAGAGGGAGAACACTGAAGGGGGCAAAGCCTAACCTGGGAGGAGAAGGCAAATGAGGTATGTGCCGTGAGGAGAAGAATCAGTCCCATCACAGCTATCACAGGCAGGACTCTAGTCCCTGACTGAAAGTTTGGGGTGACATGTAAGCCAATGCATACCTAGGCTCTCTAAAAACAACCTAGGGCTCAGGTAGCATTCTGACAAAATAAGTGCTCCTAATTCTTGCCTTCTTTTTTGCAAATTTAAGTGTTTGGTATGCAGTAGGTACTCAAATATATGCAGCATGACTCCCTGGCCACCGGCAGGCTCCTTAGGTGGACTGGAAGGTGGGGGTAAGGTCTTGAGACTCATCAGCTCCCCAGGTGTATAGGACAAGAATGACAGACCTAAAATCCATCTGGGCAGTGTGAAGAGAAGTGCTAAGAGGGTTTGCAAGGCAAAGACAAAGACAGCGACCTGCCCAACTAAGACTGAGGCAGATGGCCAGGCCAGATACCGACAGCACACTGGGAGTGTTCTTCAGAAGCAATGCCTCTGCCAGAAGTCTCCCTAGGAGTCTGTCCTTGCACATCCCTAGGCCCAGAATCTAGGTGATTACCCACAACTGAGCTTTCTATGTCTGAAGAGTGTTTGGCTTCTATAGGCCAGTGGGTATATGGTCTTGTGGTCAGATATAAGCATAAAGAAGTACATCCAAGTCACACCTGTAGTTTGGCAATACCACATGGCAAGTGAAGGTGTTGTAGGAACCAAACATGTACTTTTGCTCCATGCACCCATACTTCTATACCAACCACAACGTGTAGGCAACAAGGCCCTACTGGCTTAATGCCTGGCTCCTCCACCCAGCACACACCCACGCTGAAGGCTCAAGCAGGCTCTGACTGGTCACTGGGGGTTAATGTTCTCTCAGAGAAATACGTTCTCCCAAGAGAGCCCACATGATGTCAGCCCAGCAGTCAGGGACAAGCTCTGCTCTGTGCAGACAAGGCCCAGAAGAGGAGGACCCCCCTGACCACAAGAAGGGTATGACAACTGCCTGCCTCAAAAGGAACATTGGTCATGGGGGTTTGCAGCCTTCTTTGCTACCCCCACTAAAGCCCCCAAAATCTATCCACTCAGAACACTGTTTGCCTTGATGGCCTAGGGGAGCCCCATCCCCTCTGATGGGAGCCAGTGTGGGTATAGGGCTCTGGTTCTCTCTCTCTCTCTCTCTCTCTCTCTGTCTCTCTCTCTGTCTCTCTCTCACACACACACACAGCTCTGAGTCATTCCTCAGATAATCAACCACTTACCAAAGGTTCAGATCTCCTAGAAAGAACACCAGCAGGACAAAACCTGGCCAAAGCTGTCCACTGCAGATCCTCTTCACAGCACACAATGATTAGGAGTCAGAAGTCCAGAACCACTCTACCCCTACCAGCTTGTTTACTTTTATATGACAGAACACTGGGAGAATCACCTGGATGACCAGTTTGAGGAAGTCATAACTACCTGCCACAGGTCCAGTGTATTTAGTACCCCTAAGGCTTCCTGAGTTCTTACAGTGTGCTAGGGGTGGAGAGGATCAGACACCTAAACCAGTAGTTTCTAGAGAGGAATTGCAGGAGGCAAGTAGTGGGTCAAAAGGCACAATCCATCATCAAATGCTCACTGACAGCAAGACCAGCTCCAACCCACAAGGCTGCCAGCCTTGGGCAGTAAGGAGCTCAGCAAGTGTCTCAGACCAGGAAGCAATAGCAATGGAGAGTAAGGAGCTAAGCGTGGCTACGACAAGTGGTAAGACCAGAGCCTCCACCTCAGACCCAGAAGGGTTCCCACGGCTCTGTAGCAAGGGAGGGAAAGCAGTGTGGGGAGGGGGCTTCACAGGCTTGGGGATCAAGGTGGGGAACTTCAGGAGACAAAAGAAGGCTGTGTAGAGAGACTCAGAATTTCCTCTTGAAACACAAACAGGAACAGCAGGAATCTCTTCCCCTTAACCTCAGACCTGCTTGTCTTTAATTGACTGAGCTCATTTCCGGACCAGCAGAGTCATCCAGCCCTCTTGGCTGCCCAGAGAAGGGATAGAATGTGAGGGATGGATGAGAACCCTGCACTGGCCTTTTTGGAAAGGGAGGTACAGATAGACAGATGGCAGCCAGGGAGGTGGGTAACAGCCTCTCCTCTCACCCTCATCACAGCCTTACTTGTGGGAGGAAATGAGATCATCCATTGTAGCTGCATGGTTGCCTCCCCAGCTCCAGGACAAGCCTCTCCCCAGGTCGTGGCATACTGAGCCAACAACCAACAGCCCTGCAGGGCCCTGACTGCTGTACACCCTCATGGCCTGTTGACCTCTCAGTGAGAATATCCACTGCACAGGGTGGGGCTTCTACAGCTGGAACAGATGTCTAGAGATGATTGGGGCAAAGGAGCACAGGGTATTCCCTTCAGGGGCTCTTAGAGACTATGAGTGTACAGACAGGAAAACTAAGACTGTAATGAGAACAGGGCCTTGCCTAGGCCTTCAGGCTCAGTGGGAGCTAAAACATCCCTCCAACTCTTAGCCAGGTGGCCAAAGCGAGGGCTGCAACTCATGTGGGGCCTCTGGGTCTTCTACTCTCCTACCCTTGCCTTAGTGATAGAATATCATCCTTCCTTAAAGACCATGGACTTTCTTAAGCCCCCTCATCTCCTGGCCAGGTTTCTCTCTGGATTTTGTTTGTTCTGAGAGTCACCACACTGCAAATTGGACCACGGCCTATTCAGTCCTTACTAAGACTCATTTCTCCTTGACATTCCACATTCTTCCCCTCCGGGGAAGAATGCCCCTACTAGGCCAAACATGGACAAGCAATGAATGAAACAAAAGATCCTTCAGGTAAGGTGTTGTGCAGTGACAGAACATCCTGTGGGCACTAGGATGGAGCTCTATGGAAGTATGACTACTGTCCTGACCTGATCTGAGTCTGCTCATGGACCTGTATTGTTAGAAAGTTGTTAACAGCCTAGATACAGCAGGCTTCATATATTTACCTCTGTGGAGGAGACCAGAAGAACAAGACAATGGCTGGATAAAGCCAGAGCCCAACATAGTCCAAGTGGTCCCCAAGGTACATTCTTTTTGCATATATTTTTTGTTGTAAAAATTCTGTACAGAGGGGTTACAGTTACATGAGTAAGGTAATGAGTACATTTCCTATCTAGCATTATTACCTCCTCCTTTGTTTTTCCCTCTACCAGCCCTCCCCTTGGTCCCCTACCCTGGGCAAAGTTGAAAGTTTGTTTTCAACATAGTGTCTTGTACATCTCATTGTTACAATAGGTCAACCTGTGTCCTTATTTCGGCATTTTGTTATTTCCCTTCCTCTTCCTAAGTAAAAAATATATATATATATACAAGATGCAGGGCACCGACATCAAATACAGTGAAAACAGGGGTTATACCATGGGGGAGGAACATACAAAAGAAACAAAAAAATCACATGGTACACTATAAATACATTAAAAACAACAGCAAGAAAGAAAAAACCTCTTGTGTTCCTATCTTGGGGTTCATTTCACTTAACGTCATCTTATATGGTCATATGTACGTACAGAGCTTTTGACCTTTTTGGCTTGTCCTAGACATATACTAGTTATTGCAAATAACGGAAATCATGGGACCTATGTTTCTTTAGGCGTGGCTTATCTCAATCTATTTTTTTCCAAGTCTTTCCATTTCCTAACAAATGGGGTGGTGCCAAGGCACATTTTCCCAAGGCACATATGCCACATAATGTACTGTCACAGTTACAAACATCACCCCCAAATCCTGCTTACCTCCTTCAGCTCCTGAGCCACAGATGTAAGGCGCTCATTCTCAGACTGTGTGTTGGTAAGGACATTGCGCAGCTGTTTCAGCTCTGTCTGCAGCTCTAGCACCTTTCGCACATAGTACTGCTCCTTGGAGGCTGACTCTTGGATCAGGCTCTCCTCTCGGCTCTCCCCATCTGCAGCCACCTTCTTGTGGTTTGTGTGGGCCTGTCCAAATGCCTGTATTGAGAAAAGACATTCATGAGATGCACATCCTGAGGCCACAGAGTAAGAAAAACCCAAGACGACAACTAACATGAAATGAGAGTAGGGTCTTTGATCTAGGAGATTGTCCATGGCATGCATGTGTATAAACAAGCACTAATATGCATATGAAGTGAGCACACTTCATCATAACAGACAAACTAGTCTTAGTGTACGCAGTACCAGGACAGGGCATGGAGGATAGGATACCATGAGATGTATTTTGTGGCAAGAGCAATGTCAATATAGGTAAAGTGCCAAGCTTCAGCCTGGGGGCCAGCAGAGAAACTCCTGAGGACCAATTGGGGTCTAAAGGTACCATGAGCCTGGCTAAGCCAACATGGAAGAACCCTGGAGTTGCTACTTATTGCCCTAACTTCCTCCCAACTCCAATTGGGAAAATCAAGCTCAGGAAGATATGCTAACCACCCACACACGGGGGTGAGGGAGTCCTCCTATCCAGCTCCTTGATGTTCACATAGCCTTTAATTATTCTTGAGAAAACCTGGGCTGGCAGTAACAACCCTAACCCTGGGGTCAGTGATGAGGTAGTAATCAGCCAGAGAGGCCAGCACAGTATGCAGGCCTAGAATGTACCAGACAAGGAGTGAGCAGCAAGTGGGCAGGGCCCTGAGCCCAGGGAAAGGTGAGAGTGGCAAGCAATGGGTACTGGGTATCAGTTTATACTTGAGGTCAGTAATTGTGCTGCATCCTTGACCTAGGACCTTGGTTGGCCTAGACTTCCATTCCATGTTTCCCTAGAAGAGCCAGGCCCTCAGCAGGAGTCTTCCCTGCTTCTTTCCTCCCTGACTCTTTATGGGATGCATGTCACAGTAGGAAACGAGATCAAGAGAAAGGGTACCTACCTGTAATCTTAGCTACTTGGGAGGCTGAGAATGGAAGGAACATGGTTCTAGGCTAGCCTGAGCAGAAAAGTCCTTTATACTCCATTTCAAATGAGAGAAGCTGGATGAGGTATCGTGTGCCTGCCATCCCAGCAATGACAGAAAGTCTAAAATAGGCAGACTGACTTCTAAGTATATACCTGGCAGAAAGCAAGACCCTGTCTCAAAAATAACCAGCAAAAGAACAGGGCTGAAGGTATGGCTCTGTAATAGAGTGTCTCCTTAGGAAATATGAGGCCCTGAATTCAAATCCCAGTACCCTCCTCTCCCCAACTAAGAAAAAGCCACGAGAGAGAGAGAAAGAGAGAGAGAGAGAAGGACTTTTTCAGTCTTAAGAAAAGGAACATTTTCACTCATTTACTACTTATACTTAATATTAAGTTTAGGACTTCAGTCCAAGAAAACAATTGGAGAAATATAGAAAGCCAAATATACAAGGATGTTATTAATCAGCTAGACAGTTGTTTTTGAATATCAATAAATCAAAACATAAGAGAATGACTCATTTCTTTCCTGACAGGGAACCAGCCAAAAAAAGTCAGGTCTGGTCTCATCCCAAAAGGGAGATAAGCTGGGCACCAGTGGCTATGCCTATAATCCTAGCTACTGAGGAGGCTGATATCTGAGGATCGCAGTTCAAAGCCAGCCCGGGCAAAAAAGTCTGTGAGACTCTAATCTCCAATTAACCACCAGAAAGCTGGAAGTGGCGCTGTGGCTTAAGTGGTAGAGTGCTTGCCTTGAGCTGAAGAGCTCAGGGACAGTGCCCAGGCCCAGAGTTCAAGCCCCAGGACCGGAAAACAAAAAACAAAAACCAAAAAAAAAACAAAAACCAAAAACGAGTAACCACAAAACAACCAAAGGGGAGATAAGGGAAGATAGGCACACTTGGTAGCACCTTGAGAACATGAGATCCTGCCTGTAAGAGCACACATATGAGCTGAGCCATTGCTATATGTCCGGTGATGATGGGGGAGGCCTCAGAATGGGCTAACAGGACAACACAGACCAGCAGAAAGCCCAGGGTGGGCATTAGGACTGAATAGGGATACCGGACACCATGCTCCCTCCCCAGATGGGAGCATCTGTTCCCAGTCCTCTGCCATTTACTCTGTATTTCAAATCAGCTCAACTTTGTGATGTATTTTCTATTCTCCTTCATCCTAGAGTTTGAAGAAGGACCAAGTCACAAACTCCTATATCTTCATGGCACTTGACCATAGAGGCACCCACCCAGAGCTCCTTGCCTGAGTAGTACCCAAGTTCTTCATCAAGTAAAGGGGAGTAGGAGGCTGCAGGCCAATAAGAAGCAGGTCCTTTGATGCCTAGTCCAGCACCTGTGGCAGCTCCAGACTCACCATAAACCTGGAGCTGAGGACACAAATATTTCCTCAGCGCTTTCTCAAAGTGCAAGGCTGAACACTGTGACACACTGTTCAAGCCCAAGCTTGCCCTTGAATCTCCTCTCCACCCAAGCTCCCAGCATTTTCAAACACACCATGATGGAGACTGTCGACCTCAGCAGGAAAGAGATCATCAGAGACTGAATCTACCTCCTATGTGAAAATGTAAGGACTGGAAAATGATAGCAACAATATGCATGAATAATAAATAAGCAGCAGTTTTCAGGCCACTGGCACTGGCTGAAGGAGACTGAAACCAATGGTAGAGTCTGTGGAGTAGGAGCTGGGAGACAGTAGGCAGAACAGCAAGGGCAAGCAGAGCTGCAGCCTGGCACAAGTCTTCACCGAGGATGGTTAGTGTGCAGCTGAGGAAACCATAAAAAGGAGCACACAGAGGGGCAGTGGGAACAATCTTTACCAGTCTCTGGGGTGTGTAGGTGGGGGTGGGGGTGTTGTCTTGATTCACACACAGCAGAGGGAGCACTCCCAGGGACTGGCAAAATCAGCCTAGATTACACACTATATAGGTATGGCAGAATAATGCATAGACACTCTGAAAGCATTAATCCATTTCCTAGTCACTACATTCCAGGACAAAGCTCAAGTACACGTACACAGGCAGGAAAGCAAAACTATTTAGTAGGTTAAGAGCCCCCAATGAATGGCTTTGAGAAGGAAAACATCAATGGACAGCACCCAGAGCTGACATACTCACAGGAGCATGTACTGAATCCTACTAGTTAGGGACAGAGAGGAGACCAGATGTGCTAAGCAAAGATAGAATATATTAAAGACCCAAATGGAACTCCTGGAAATGAAAGGTAGGAAATAACAGCAGACACACTGTGTAGTAGATAAGTCCATTCCGAAACAGAGCAAACTGCTCCAATGAAATACAGAGAAAAATAGCTCAAACAAAATCCAATAAGCTAGACAGAGCATTCCTCAGTGAAGTGTGGAACCATTCCAAGGAGCCTTACTTATGGGGAACTGGAATCCCTTCAGGTTACAAAGAAGGGAAGACAGAAAAAATATTTGAGGAAAAAAGGGCTGAAAAAGTTTCTAATTTTGGTGAACTAGAAATTCACAAATACTAGCAGCACAAAAATATAAAAGCACACAAAGCCCAAAAAGTATAAAGGCAGCTATGCCACAGCATAAGATAAAATCATTTAAACTTAGCAATGCAACAAAACTACTAAAAACACGGTGAACAAATGCAGCAGTGGTATTCATTAGACAGTATGTTGAAAATGAACTATGAACCTTGTGCATGAGGATAGGAGGGGCTGGGAAGGTGGCTCAGTGGTAGAGCGCTTGCCTTGCATGCATGAGGCCCTGGGTTCGATTCCTCAGCACCACGTAAGCAAAAAGAAAAAAGCCGAAGTGGCACCGTGGCTCAAGTGGTAGAGCACTAGCCTTGAGCTGAAGAGCTGAGGACAGTGCCCAGGCCCAGAGTTCAGGCCCCACGACCAGACCCTCCCCCTCCCCCCAAAAAAAGAGGATAGGAGGGAAAAACTGGGAGAGAGCCAGGAAAGGGGCTTCACTGTCCAAAAAGCAATGTACTCATTACTTGACTTATGCAACTGTAACCCTCAGAACAGTACCCTTTATAATAACAATTTAAAAAATTAAAAACACTACTAAAATCAGCCAGAGGAAAAAGGATACAGGACTTACAGAGGAGCACAGATAAGGATGATGGCAGATCTATCTGCTAAGCCAGAAGACAACCTCTTCAAACCCAAACAATTATCAGAAAAAGAGGTAAAATAAGGTGAGATAAAGATTTTAGACACACAAAAGCTGAAGGAGGGGCTGGGAATGTAGCTTAGTGGTAGAGTGCTTGCCTAGCATGCATGAAGCCCTGGGTTCAATTCCTCAGTACCACATACACAGAAAAAGCTGGTAGTGGCGTTGTGGCTCAAGTGGGAGAGTGCTAGCCTTGAGCACAGAGAAGCTCAAGGAAAGTAACCAGGCCCTGGTTCAAGCTCCAGGACTGGCAAAAAACAAACAAACAAAAAAACAAAAGCTGAAGGAATTTATCAACAGCACACCTGTATTTCAAAGTATATTATATAAACTCCCTCACACAGATTAAAAATGGTACCATATAGAAATCTAAATCTATAGGGAAAATTAAAAGCTCTAAAAAAGATTAACTAGGTGATATGTGGGTTAAATATAGAAGATTTGTTCTTTTCTTTTCTTTTCTTTTTTGTCAGTTGTGGGGAGAACTCTGGGCCTAGGGCTCTTCAGCTGAAGGCAAGTGTTCTATCACTTGAGCCACAGTGCTACTTCCAGAAGACTTGTTCTTAAGTTCCATTAAACTTACAATTAATTTCAAGTCTGGTGTGGTGATAAACATCTGAAAGCCTAGTACTTGGAAGGCTCAGCCAGAAATACCATGAGTTCAAGGCCAGCCTAAGCTACATGGTGAATTCCAGGCCAACTACATAGTGAAACTGTCTGAAACAAACATACAAACAAATCTCAAAGCCAGACCTAGGGTTGCTAAGGCCTGTAATCCTAGCTACTCAGTAGGCTGAGGCCTAAAAATCAAGATTTGAAGACATCTTGGGCAGACAAATCCAAGAGACTCTTATTCTAGTTAGCCAGCAAAAAGCTGGAACTGGAGGTATGGCCCAAATGGCAGAGCACCAGCCTTAAA